AGCAGCTCAAATTGTTGGTAAAGCCTTAGGCTGTTAGACATCTGCTGGTTGAGTATTTTCTGGATGATGTAGGGTTGAATAATGGCGTTGCTTAGAAATTCGGCATGTGAAACGAAGTGGTCTTTTATTAGGCAATTGCACAGCTTCTCTTGATTTATGTGGATGTTGTGTCCAACCTTTGAACAACAACAGCAAATAACCTTAAACTCAAACTTCGTGGTCATGCCATATCGCTTGGATTTTGAATCAAATTGTGACGATAGAATTCTTGCATTGGGTTTGGTATTAGCATCCAACAGTTAACAGCGTTTGTCAAGTATAGCAGAGCATTGAGCCAAAGTTGTTTGATTCGAATAATCCAGACTTTTGTTCCCCTTGCACTCTGTATTAGCACCTTTTTTTTATCAATGTTACACTGAAGGACGAAAGCGTCACAGATTTGTTCATTGGTACCAATTGATTTAAGTGAGTTGAAGAGTTCTGACATAGTGTTCACAATATAACGTAGTTGTTTTGCTTCAGCCTTGGTAACGTTTTTTATTAAGTAATTGAAGAAATATATTCTAAGAATATTAGTGCACAATTATTATAGCGCTCCTTAAGCCGGTCAAGGACCATTTGATAATTCTTTTCGGTAACTTGGAATGCTTTTATTGTTGCGAGTGCATCATCACTTAAGCAAGACAACAGATAGTTGAATTTCTCAATCACTTAATATACATCATATACAGCTCATCAATTTCAGCCAGACCAGTGCTTGAAGGCATCAATTTTTCAATTTGAGGTTGATAATATCATATTATATGATTTAATATGATTAAATAAATCCAATTGTACATTTCAATTCAAAAGGTGTTAAGAAAGCATTTGCTTCTACAACATTTTTAATGCGTTTGTACTCCTCAATTGCAGGTGATTGCTGTTCAGTCACACCTGTTTGAGTAGATCTTGAAGAAGTATGGTCATTTGGATTGCTCTTTGTGTGATAAAATACGCAAAAATAAGTTGAAGAGATGTCAGAACATGTTGCGGCATTGTAATTTACGTTTAGAAATTTGATGTAGCCTGGCAAGTGAAACCATCGACGAACGTTCTAACAGCAAAGAGTTAGGTCCAACGAATAGAAAAGGCACACCTTGTAGTATATTGTTTAGTTTTATCTGGATATATAATTAAAATAATTGCTAAAATTGGTAATTTATCAGTTGTCCTATCAGTTGACACCTTTACCTGCATATCATATTAGTAGACAGAAGCCCCACATATCTCTCCATCTGTAATTAATCCTATTAAATATTGCGGAGTTGCTTGTTACCAACTTTTCCTGGTTGAGAGTGTTGCCACAACTACCTACATTCTTACCTCTCCAGAGTTACAAGTCTTTACTTGACTTTTCTGGTTGAAATTCTAGTTTAACCATAAGAGATAGATGTCATGTGGCCTGAAGTTGATCTAGAAACTTTATTTTGAAATATTTACTTTGCATATGTATTCAAATGCATGTGTAGAATGCAGAGCAAACAAAAATTGCTAATATCAACAGCCAATTCTGTCCTACTATATGGAAGCGAAATATTGGCTGATTTGCTGAAAGTATAATAAAAATGTAAGTAGAACAAATATCACAACAAAGATAATACCATCTGAGGAAAACCATAGACTGATTGGCTAAGATCATACTCCAACGGAAAAAATATGATCTTGAATCTGATTGATTTTGAAAAAGAAGTAAACAAATAAACTTAATCGAGACCAGGACGTAAGCTGACGAAGAAGAATTTCTAATAAATGTCTGAGATAGAAACGATTTGGCACACAAAGAGGATTGTATTTAGTTCTTGCAAACCGGGCTTACTGCTAAAAAAATTTGTACTAGGGAACATTTACAATAGATCTGGAAACTTATTTTGGAATACATATTGTTTATTAATATATCTTCTCAAAACTACTATGTCAAATACGTTAACTTTATCGTTTAAGATGTTGAGACCCATAAATATTTCTCTAAAATATGTACTTTGATTGCTCAAATGCTCTTTGGTAAGAATTACTTTAACTGATAAGTATTAGAGGTTTCTGCTAGAACCATAGATAAGTTGAAACATATGACTGTCTGTGCTAGAGTTCTTCCTCTTCAAAAGTTTCAAACGGCACTTAATCTTCATTAATTTGATCAAATTTATTATTCGATATTGTCAAAATTCTGTGAGACTTCAATTTATTAATTTCTTTATTAAATGTCAAATTTGTAAATGTCAGAAATGGCTTTTTTATGTAATTGAAATAATTTAATACTGCTTTATCGACACGCATGATATGATCTAAGAAGATATTACTCCATATAATAAATATAACATAATATATACAAAATTCTATATTCCAACAAAACTTCATTTTTGCATTCAAGTTAGCTAAAATTCAAAAGCTTACATATAAAGTTTAAGTTCCACCTTAAGGAAGGGAAAAAAAGTTCCAACAAAATGAATTTTTCAGCTCAGGGGACACACTGTCAGAATTTA